AAAAAAAAAAGGTGATGTCACTCATTACTCTGCTTAGTCACTTCAGAGTTCTGGTTTTGATTGGTTGTTACCAGTGACTCTTTTACAAGTTTTCAGAATAGGAAAGTTTTTTTAATTTGAAAAAACTAAACAAAAACATCACGCTTGTCCAGTCAGGTGAATAAATTGGTATATCTATGCCTTTTGATTTCTAATCTGAAGTTTAAATTAGAAGTTTGGAAAGAATAATTTGGATTTCACATCACACCCCCCAAGCTCGAAATCCAACATGGCTGCCATAAAAGGACCAATGTGGGAGGAGGGAGAAGGGAAAGCAGTTCAGCTACATTTTAGGGCATTTAAATCTGAATAGTAATATACAACACCCCAAACTAAACACTTTATTGATCCAAGATTCTTCAGGGAGTTTTTGGTGGCGATGGCGTCGGCAGCAGCCAGATGTTGCTAATAAAATATATTTGATTAAATTAACACCAGCAAATGTGACATCAGTGAAAGAAGTTGTGGCATCTTGATGGTCTGAAGCAAACAGGTGTGCTTTAGAAATCAAATCTTTGCTGTCCATTGATCTGGGAAGAATTATGGAACCATTTCCAAACTGTATGAAGCAAAAATGATGCAAATTATCCACAGTGGAAAACGTCCAACAATCGGTACCCTTCAAAGGAGTGAAAAACGGTGGAAACCGTTTTCTACTGGAGGTGCTTCCTGCCCAACGCATCACCATCCACAACCACCTGTTGAAGACACTTCGATTATATAAGATCCCACAATTAATTTTTCTTTGGAATAAATAAGGTATTTTTAATTGAATAAAGTAGAGAGTTGATTTATTATACAACACTGTAGCATGTTAGGAGAAAACTAGAAATATTTCAGCACAAATACTTTACAGCCCTTGTCAAAGATTGGAGGCAGGGGGGTGATTTGGGTTTGTTTTGTAACCACAGAAGCTTTGCACCTTGCAGCCATTACCACAGTGTGACTTCTGAAGCATCAGCCAAACTAGATTTAATCAGGACAGTGATGGCCAGCAACGACAGAACGGCTGGAAAAGAGAAGAATCAGTGGACCTGAAGTTCAAACCTTAATCTGACGGAGCGGCGGTGCTGGAAAAGAAGTTTATTTCTATTGCACATTTCAGCAACAAGGAAGTCCAACGTGGTTTACATCATAAAAATATAAAGTCATGCGCCTTAGAGTCAACAACTGAGAAAATCAGTAACTAAACATTACATGTTGATGAGTGCCATCACCAAAATCATCAATACACACGAAGAAAGAAAGCAGCACAGGAACAGAGCTCTACATCCAGACCTCAGTGAAGCTCCACTACCATCATCACAGTCGCAACAAACTGATTTAAAGTAATATTTTATCAGGCTGACAATTCTTAAAGAAATGTTTTTTTAATTAAGACATGAAAATCACCTCTAATGTGCCTCAGAGGAACTTTAGCAGATATCTGTTAGCTTGTGAGCTGGATTACGTCATGATGCGTGAGGCAGCGTCATGGCGACAAACAGCGAGTCGCACAGACAGAGTAGAATAACTCTGTGATGCTACAGACACTAGAGGACAGGCCAGGCTTTGTGTGGGACACAGCATGAGAATGCACAACAGTCTGGTGTCGAGGTGCAGAACTCCATCTCACATAGTTAGCAGCATGAATGCACAAGGAACACAGACAGATACAAACACACGCACGCACACACACACTATCGACTGTCTCTGTGCTGTTGTAAAAAGGTAACGCAAAGTTCACCCCTGGTTGATGTTGCATTACTTTATTCTCAGGTCTGATTTTACAGCTGTTTGTCATTCAGTACATAAAGGCTCTTGATATTTAAAGTCTTTCAGATAAATATAAAAATTGTGGTGGAGGAACCAACAAATCTAGGGTAAACCATGTTATGTGTCACTGTAATCTGTGATTAAAACTTGTGATCAATACTTCTCAGAGTGATCCCACTTTTATGACAATTTGCAGAAAATGCTGAATGAAAATGGCGTGGTTCAAATTCAAACCCACCAAATCATGTTCAGCCATTTAAACTAACAGGCAGTGCAAGGAAATGATTAATCAGAGAAGCAGCCAAGAGACCCGACATGAGGTTGGAGATGAGTTGATGCAACAGAGATTGATCCCACACAACATCAATCTGACTTTTCTGGAAGATAACGTAGGAAATAATGTATTGCTAAAAGAAACCCAAAGGAAGTAAGCTAACAGGAGGCATGTTGTGATGACTTCCTGAAGGCGGAGTTTCAGAAAGACCAGGAGCTTCTTAAAGAGAAAGAGGCCCAATTTCAAGGTGTGAAATTACAAAGTCAAATTTATTTTAAGGCATATTTGATGCAGCATTTTTATAACAACTGAAGGTAACATTGTTACTTGATTGTGCTACAAAATGAAGCTACATAGCTGGCTACACAATACTGCCCCTAATTACAGCTCATGTGTTATCACAAACATCTACACTCAGACGTTTTCATCTAACATTAAGCTTTAACTTTTTAGGATCTTACCAGACCTTATTGACATCCGTCCAAACAGCCATTTTCACTTTGCCTGTTTTAGTTTTTTATCTCCTTTTTGATTTTTGTTTTCTGTTTTTTATTTCTGATCAGGCTCTGGAGGAGGCAGCAGCGAAAGCAGCAGAGGAAGAGAAAAAACGCCTTCTGACTCACACCGAACTTCAGGACCGCTACAGGACGGAGCTTGAGAGAGAAAAAATGGTACGTGATTCAGGAAATTATTCCACCAGAGCAACTGCAGAACAAAGACAACTTTTACTCAACTCTCTCTTTAGCTGCTCTGTATTTGCATGCATCTTGGTATGCCTGGCTAAAAAACCCCAACAACAAACGATTGGAAGAAATCTCAATGCTCAAAATAAAATAAAAAAATCTACCCCAATAAAGACCTGAAGTGCAGTTCCTAATATATCTGGCTTAACTTTGTTTCTCTGTTAAATTAAGTCATGCTCTTGTTACTGAAATACACATTTGGTAATTGTAGCGACCAGAAGGTATTTCATCTTGTGGTTGACTTCCTCTGAAAATAACATGAAATGCTGATCACCCTTTGTGGCTGTGTGACAGACTTTTGATGAAGATGTTTATCTGCGTATTTCTGCTCAGACAGCCCAATCAGCTATCTTATTGACGCATTTACTTCCAATTTTATTTCGGTTTCAACCAGAAATCCCCCAAACTTTGTTTTTGTCGCCTCCAGCAAGTACATTTAAAAGAAATAAGTTCAGTGCAACATACATGCCCTTCATAACCTCTGTCATACTTGTTAGGGATTCATTGATTGCATTTTTCTAACAATCACCAATCTGTAAAAAACTAGTCCCAATTTTGGCAGTTTTTTTTTTTTTTTTTTTTTTTTTGCCTGAAAAGTCGCTAAGTATAGCAATAGTTCATTTCCAGACATTTCCTCGATGATTCTTTGTTAATCATAAGTTCTGTCAATTTTAGTTTTGTTTAGGTAGTTAGAATATATTTAAGTTAGTTTGCATTAACTTGCATTAACTTTTGTATTTGGAATCATTTTGATTACTTTGATAACTTTTAGACCCTCCCATTAATGTAACAGATTAAGAACACCGGGGGGCGTAGTGGAGAAGATTTTTTGTTTGTCAAATGTATGCTGTGATGATGGGAGGTTTTTAAATTTTTATTTTTTTTTTACCACTTTTTGAACTTGTAGGATCAGATTAAGTTAACTTTTGTTTACATCTAGTGTTGATGTTTCTATTTCCAGCATCACTAGCTGTGATTCTGTTACAAATATGCGCAAAACTTTGTCGTTATTCCACTATTGTTGAAAAAACACAATTTCTCAATTGTGGTGTTTTATTTAAATAAGAAACTCAATTAAAAAAATTACACATTAATAAGTTTGTTCACGCGATAAATCATAAAAAAAAAACAACATTCTCCAACTACGTCCTTCGGTTTCTTCTACGTGGTTTCCAGTTGCATCGTCTCGCTGTTGATCATGTGACTCGTGTGATGCGAAAACATATTTCCATTGCAGTTTTGCAAAATAAACCAATATGGTCAATACAACCACCTCATCCTGGCATCAAAATGTTTTTGTCAAAAAATTAGTTATCTTCAAAACTGTCATATTTCCAATAAGCAAATTTATTTTCAAACTGTCAAATTGCACAATTGTTTGGTTAGTGGAAATCCATTTATTGAAGTGATTTAAACTGTAGTTAGTGGAAGCACAGCGACATAAATCTCATAAAAGGAAAGACATGTCTGTGGTTCATTCATGCTGCCAGAGAGAGAGAGCATGACGTTCAGCAGGTACAAATGACTTCCTAGAATCTTCTTAAAAAAATGTCAAATTGTCACAAAAGCCATCCTCCATCCATCCTCCGTTGCCAATAGAAACAGGGTTTCATTTTTCGTCTACCAGGTACGGCAGCAGATGGAGGAGCAGGTGGCCCAGAAGTCCTCTGAGCTGGAGCAGTATCTGCAGAGGGTCCAGGAGCTGGAGGACATGTACCATAAGCTAGAGGAGGCTTTGGAGGAGGAGAGGCGGGCCAGGCAGGATGAGGAAACCGTCCGTAAGCTGCAGGCACGGTCAGTCTGAAGGTGGAGGGCAGAGATTACGCCATAGAGAGGAAATATCCTCACAGGAAGAATAAACGGCTTCTTTCCTTTTCCACTGTAAAGTTGGGACAAGATATTAATATTACAAGGAAGTTACTAACTCACAAAAGGCCTTCAGAGTTCTGACTGCTTCTCTTTTTTTCACGGGAGTCTCACCGGGTCATTTATTCGTTTTTGCCACAGAGCTGCTGTGTTTCCTCTCTTGTCCTTCCTTCCTCTCTGCTGACATCAGCTTTCCACCGTCCCGTCGGCTGAGCGGCAGAGTGTTTCATTCTGTTCTTAAATTAAGTCAGTGTCTGAAAGACAACAATCTGTCCTTAACTTGCTGCTAAATAGATTTTTCTTACATTGGTGTAATCAGCTCTACCAGCCTGAGCTTCATCTGAACTGAACTTCAGAACAAGAGCAGGCAGTTTATTGGTGGGGTTGAGTTTTTGTTTGTTGAGTTCAAGTGTATTTAATTAGAATAGTTGGTTATATTAATGATTGTTGGAAGTTGGCAGTGATGGGGCAGACTCTCTTCAGAGTCAAAATGAGGTTTGTTTGTCTGTGGTTCCTTTCTGTGTTTGAGGAGCTATAGTTTTTGTTTTTGCAAATCAATGACAATAATGTCCAAACTCAATAGAGAACCTTCTTCTTCTTCTTTTTGTGGTATTTAGTGGCAAATAATTTAACGGTGCATTGCTGCCACCAACTGGTAAGGAGTGTGGATTAAGATTCTAATATCTATACAAAAATAAAATAAAAACGATTTAAGAATTTCCAGATTACTCATTTAAAACTACTTCAGTGAAGGCTGAAGATTAGGCCACAGACGGTAAAGGCACCACCCTGCCACCTGCTGACGCACAATAATATCCAACCTCAGGCTGCCACTGATATTTCAGCCTGAAGGAATATTTTCTACTCCACAGACTCATTCCATACACAGAACTACACTAGTGGAGTGATTTTTCACTTTCGTCATCTTTCCTGCATGCTGTCAGAATGCTGCAAACACTCCCTGCACACATGACCACATTTCCTGGCAGTCCAGGTGAAGACATGTTTGTTTTTAATAAACTCACTGGTGGCACAATTGTTTGCATCCCTGATAATCCTTTAAAAATTAATCCATATGAATCTATTGTTTAACAAATTAATAATCAACATCTTCCTGATTCTCTGGGTGGTTAATGACCCATTTCAGGTCACCATGCTGAAGGCAAAACGGGTCAAATATGAACTTTCCATCCATACTGTGACGTAAACATGATAGAACCTTTATGTAGGAACGAAACAGAGGAACAGTACATCCAAACTATTTGCATTATTTTGAGAAACGTCACCATCTGACAAATTTGGTTTCATTTTTTGTGTCAGTAGTTTGGTTAATCAGAGCCGTTTTCATGTGCAGACCCGTCTCCACTCAGATTGATTTTCACCTCTTTAAAAGTGTACAGATGTTCTGTTTTAAACTGACATGGTCACCGTGACTCTACACAAAATAGTCCAGGATGTATTTGCAAATTTACTACAAGGCAATGCAAAACATAAAAATCCCCCCAAACCTCCCAGGACCTGGGAGAATCTGAAGAGCAGGATTAAGGGAGGAAAAAATAAAACGTCTGCAAAGGGTGACCTCTTGTGGTCAGAGGTGGCTAGAGCAACATAAAAGTTTCCCCAAGCAACTAAAGAATATTATTACTCCTGCAGAAATAAGAAGTAGTCATCAAAAATGTAAGTAAGAGCACATGTGTTTAGTAAATAAATTACTTTTAATTACTGACAGTTTGATTCTAATCTCTGGTTTATATTTATATTGTACCAAGATATATAAAATAATATTCAAATGCTAATATTTTCACATTAAATTCGTTAAATAAGTAATAAGATACCCGAAACACTCAAGTCCAAATCTTGTTACTATTTCTAGTAACAAGATATTCTGTGCCTTCAAATGCACCGGCTCGGTCATCCAACAGGAAACAGGAAACGGGACAGAGACTTCCTGCTTCACCTTCACCAGTATCAGAGTGTGATTGGTTAAAATGTACATCTTTATCATTTAGCAAAGTGACCAGAGAAGAAAACAGATGTCTGGGGGGGATTAAAGGGGGCAGTTGCCCATGTTGTCCGTATCAGAAAGCGCCACTGATTGCGTTGCTCGTCTGTGTGTGGAGCAGGTTGCTGGAAGAGGAGGCTGAGAAGCGAGCCGAGCTGGAGCAGATCCACCTGCGTCAGCAGCGGGCCATCTCTGAGACCGAGGCAGAGAAACAGGAGCTGGAGAAGGAGCGGCGGGCCAAGGAGAGCGCCCTGCAGGCCGCCATGAAACAACTGGAAGAGCTGGAGCAGGAGAGGCAAGGAGCACTGGAGCAATACCAGGTCAGCTACGAAGGTCATGTGACCCAGAAATAATCAGGGCCTTAACATTTTAACTTGTGTTAAATATGACAAATTCTTCAGTTCAGCTTTTCCCTCCTTGTCTCATTTTTGGTCCTCTCAACCTGATTGTGTTTCTAAATCACATCAGCTTTAGATTTCATCCTTTTCTGTTTTGTTTTATGTCCAGTAATCTCAAACCAGATGGAAATATTCTCTGTTTTTTTTTTTTTGTCTCACAACAACACAGTTTAAAACAGCAGGAATGAAATCTTCTCAATTCATACCCCGCCCGTCAAACTCATTCAATTAAAAATGTCGAATCATTTCTCACTACTGCTAAAAATAGTTGTGTGTGTATATATTTAATAAGGTTTCTAAAGCAACTCTTTGTGTGTGAATCAGACGGTGATGAAAAAGCTGGAAGATGCAACTAACAACACCAAGTCATGGAAGCACAAAGTGGCCCAGCATGAAGGGATGCTGCGGCTCATCCAACCAGGTGACGCGCTTCTGCTTCCCTCTCTGTCCTCCCCAAATAAGAGTCTGAGTCTGGTTTTAGAGGAAGAGGCTGCAGGTATCTTAAGGTTGCAGTTCCATGATTAGGAACCCAAACTTGATTTTCTAGATGTTTCTCAGATGTTGACATTATACAGGTGTCTATTGCAGAAGGATTCATACTTGTTAATTCAGTGACATTGTTACACTTGGTTATATTTAGGGGAGTCATGGTCACCGTTTCCATTCATCAGGGCACCAACTCCACATTAACAGCATAAAAGCAATGGAAAACCTGTTTAGAGTGCAGCTAAATAAGTTTTATTTTTTATCTGGTGCACATGGCAACCACCTTTTCTTGCCGGCCTGGGCAGCCGCCCTTATGGTTCATATCAAAAACTGCTTCTGTGGAAGATGCAGGAAAAGAAACGACTCAAGGCGAGCATTTCAAAAACCACTTGTTTGTTTCGCTCTCTGTGCCGACTATGCTACACACAAACACGTTGCCATAGCAGCCGACTAACAGCTCCACGAATGTATCAGAATTCAACGCCAAAAATCACGCAAACATTTCCCAGAACATTCAGTCCATCAGTTTTACGTTTTCAGGCTTGATGTTTATTTTGTGATTATTAAAAAGTGATCGTCTGAACACAGCGGTGGTTGGTTAGCTCATTTAAACACCTCTACTGATGACCTGTCAGAGTGGGGGTGTGGGTCGCTTACTCTTTTTTCAAATGAACCGAAACACAGAATTCTGCAGCACATCTACATGTTAAGATAGTAAAAGTCAAGCTAGCATAAGTGACCTACTTCTCTCTCTACCTCTCTTTCATTTTAAATTAAAACCTTTTACTGACCTCTGAAGGTCAGTAAAAGACCTTGATATCTAGCAGTCATAGTGTTGACGATTAGTAGCAAAACACTGAGTCCCTTTTGCTTTTATACATCACGCATACATTTAATATTTAGCGTGCTGTGTTGACACCTTAGCAGCTAAAACCAATGGTAGCCATTGTTGGCCAGCAGTTTTTTGCCCTCCAGCAGGGGGCAACGTGTCTGTAGGTAATCTTACAAATAATGCTGCGATTTTCTGTTGTACGTTTCTGTTGTGATACAGGTCTTAAATTTAATTCATAGCCGTCTGAAAAAATATTCATTTCGAGTTGGCGAAACCTGCAAGAATTTTGGATGAAGAATGACGTTTTTCTTATCGTCCACAGGCTCTAAGGGGCCACAGAAGATCACCAACTGGGGCCCGGCAGCCTTCTCTGACGTAGAGCTCAGCCTGCGGGAGAAGCAGTGGCAGGAGATGAAGAACCAAGCCGCTCAGGCTCAGTGAAGCTGCCGTGAGAACTCGGCCTCAAACTGGTCACTAACGCAGAAGGCTGGTTAGACGTGTTCAGTAAAACAAACCTGTAGTGACTGAAATCAAACCTGGTGACTGGATTTTCCAACCGGACACAAATACCTGGTTTACTAGCAAACTGAGGCATTTTTAAATTAGGGCATTGATTAACTGATTAGTTTGGATCCTTTAAATGAATCTTTAGTGTTGTCCAGCAATAGACTAACCAGCCGTACTGTCAGTGTACAACACTAAAGACCAGAGCTGTAGTTTAAACATGATTCACCAAGTTTAGCTTGAATCCAGTGAAGAATCCAGACGTCTGTGACAGCGGTGAGGAAACACTGGAACACAGACAGTCACAGGGTCTAGTTAAAGGCTGTAAATACAGCAGAGCTGGTATGTTAATGCTGTAGATATGAAGTCATTAATCTAAGACATTGTCACAAAAACACAATACAAAACTGCATCGTCCTGCTCTTCAGTTTCTTCTAGTGATTTATTCTGATCCGTTGTCCTACGCAGAAACAGGACAAGCACACTAATACATTGATATCAATACAACAAGCAGACATTTTTATTGTGAGTATTCTTTTTATTATTTTTCTACAGTGTGCAGTCTGCATTTGTCTGTGCTTCTGGTGCACATGGAGTGGCATAGTCTAAAAATGACAACCTTAGAAAAGATTCTGCCTTTACTTTGAGGCCAAGTGGGGATATAAATCAGACCTGAAGAAAAAAAAGATTGCATTAAATCACTGGTGGCGCAATTACTGATGTTCCGGTTTGGGAGAAACTCCCTTTGCATGCAGGACCAAACTTCTTCTAATGCAACGTTTGACCCAAATGGAGCAAACAGACAGAGGGGTGTTGATGTTTTCTTTTCTAGATTTCCCTGAACCGTCTCTTAGGCCAGACAGCAAGTGATCATATGAGGATGATCTAAGTATTCTTTGGGATTAATAAAGTATGTTTGAATTGGGTTGAATGGAATAATATCTGGAAGTCCCTTAAATCTCAACTTCAAAAAATAAAGGATGCTTTAAACTTCTTTCAGCCACATCTATTTAAAATAAATTCTGAGAGACACTAAAATTGTGCAACCTCTTGATTTTAATTCCACTTTGTTTTTAGAGCTTTCCTCTCTGATTGTTGTCATCAAAAGGTTGGACATTTGAAACTTTTCAGTGACAAATTGTGCTACTGCAACCAGTAAAATGTGGCTGTGACTGTAAACTCATTTAGGAGCAACGAACAACGAGCTAGTTGATCTGCCCGTCCGCTCCCCGTAACATTGTTAGCTGTTTGTACATATTGTCAAATTGATTGATTTATGATGTGCAGCTGGTTAAAGGAGGATGTTGGCTTATCTCATCCAATGAGGGAACCGATTCTCTGCTCGTACTTAAACAACGCACTACTTTTAACCTGATTCTCAAGCTAACAAAAGGCTTGTAGTTCAAGCTGTTAAAAGTAAAAACATTCAGGAGCTAAATCTGTCCAACGCCCTGGACTCTCTGGGACCGTTTTAAAATGAAGATGAGACATTTTGTCATTTTAGCCAGCATCCACTACAAACAGGACTTCTAACTGCTGGACGTCTCTGCTGCACTCATAATGTCCTGATTAACTCCTGTGATTGTTGTTGTTGTTTTTTGATATATGCATTTGTAAAAAGCTGGAGACTGAGCTGTGTAATAAAAACGATTTCTAATTATGCTCTGAGTTGTGGAATCTAATTTTTCTCTCTTCATCCCAACATTGTTTCCATTGCACAGCAGTTTTCATTATAGACTTTCCTTCAGCTGAGGCCTGTGATTAAGAGAGCTGCCAACAGGGGGCGCCAAGGTCAATAATAAATATAGCCAACACAACAATCAGTTTTGTTACTCTATTGTTAATAAAAGATAAATCCTTCATTTGTTGTGCACAACTAATTTTGCACTAAATACACAACAGGCAAAACTGGTAATAATGAATGAAATGATATGAAATTGTTTTATTTGTATCTTTAATACTACAGTTAGTATTGGGACAAGCTAACACTAAATATAGATGTAGAATTTGAAAGAACAGTTTTTGATCACATGTAAAAAGAGTAATGACTATAGCTGACATCTGATTTCATTGTGATTTATGACATTGTAGGTTTGTTTTCATCTCTTAAGCATATCAGAATATATTTTTGTGTATTTTTGTTGTTTTTGTAAGCATGAAAGGGGATGTAGAAATTTGACGCAAATATATGCTTATTATTGTTTAAACGATATCTATTTTGTGCGCAATATTTACCTCCCCGGACAAACAACCTAAACAACACTGCCGCTTAAAAATATTTATTAATTCCAACAATCTCAGTTCACTAAAAACTAACCACCCTTTTTTTTAATTGAATAATATTATGAAGTGTCGCTTTTAACGTAGTGTAGTTTCTGGATATGCTGCCAACTTTGAGTAACTTCAGTGAATGAAGAACAAACAAGTATTGGCCAAAAAATCAACAGAGACACACCTATTTATGTCAAAGTGAGACCTCTTGTTTGTTCACCAGCTTTGTTGTTGTTTGCTGCAAATACTGCATATTGTCACTGGAAGTACACATTTATACATTACTGTAAAAGTATTAGTTTAGAAAGTTTTATATTGGAAAAGACTCATAAAAATCTTTGGAGAGATTCTTTGTTGAATGAAAAATAATCTATAGATTCCAGCTTTATCTCTTTGCCTCAATCTCTCAAATATTGCATCCTGTTTTGCACCACAGGAAGTTTCTACCTAGCTTATTGCTGAGCATCAGCTGCCCTCTTGTGGAGAAACCTTTGCACTTTTTCACATCAGTGGGTTTCTATTCGTATTGTTTTCAAATGCAATTGCAGTTTTTCTTTTAAAAAAACAACAACAAACGAACAAACATATGGACGTTCAATATAATAGAAAGTCTTACTGTTATTTCAACTACTAAACAGAAATAATTCCCAAAGTGAATTCCAATTGTAAAATGAGAAATAATATGAACACTTGAAAATATCTGAAAGTGAAACTGCTTGAATATGCAAAAAAACAACAACAAAAAAAAACATGTCTCTACAAAAGCAAAATAAAACCACATTCTAGTTTTGTCTGATAAGCACATTTAGGCTTTTCCCCCTCACAGAGGCCTTAAGTCCCTTTAGGAATAAAGTTCTACCAAAATCAAATGAAAATATGGCATGATTTCTGCGCCACCAATTGGGCTAAGTGAGCTATCTGGTCGCACACTTCTTTGTGAACGAGCAATAATTTGAATCAAGTGCGTTTAAGGGTGCGTTCACACTGCAGCCTGAAGTGACCCAATTCCGATTGTTTTGACATAATGCGACCTGTATCCGATCTTCTCATGGCAGTCTGAACAGCATAGGTCGGATTCTTTTTCGAATGTGACCCATATCCGACACGTATCCGATTCAAGTGCGACCTAACGTCCAGGTCGCATTCATCCGAACTGAACGTCACTGATTCTCAACAAATCTCACTATTCTGCGTCCTGATAAGCGCAAGTGGGAAGAAAAACAACAACCATGGCGGATTATATGAGGATTAAGTTGTTAATATGCTGCTCTGGCCGGACAACAACTTCAGATATGTAAGCTAAGCTCCACCGTTAGCCTCCATGTTTACATGTTTACTTCCGCAAACACTGAAGCAATTCAATTCAAACAGCTCGCATTTACTGGCAGTGTGAACGGCCCCGGCAAAAAAAAATCGGAATTGCCAAAAAATTGGAATTGGATCACTTCAGGCTGCAGTGTGAACGCACCCTAAATCTCACAAAAGCTCACTCCGTAGTGCTTCGGCACGCGCTCATCTCTTGACAACTCACTCAATCTGCTTTCTGCTCACGCGCAACTGTTTCTCTGCTAGCTCCGATTTTATAATACTCGCGCAGCTCTGTTTCTATGTGCTCGCCACTTGTTATATGTAAATGATCCAAATCACCAGCCAGTCACAGACAAGTAATTTTTTATCCTGCAGTATGGTGGACCTCAGTTCCAGACTACAGTCTTTAGGCTATAACAGGTTTTCTTATTTACAGTGGTGTTTCAGTACAGTCGAAGATAAAATTGATGCTCACCCGCAGTCAGGTAAGGTCAGTGTGTTTATAGTTCTGAACGTATTTCAGGCGCCCAACTTCCACGGATCATAAAAGAGATATTTATTGGATTGCAGAGCAACAACAGGCAAAGCAATCCAATAAATGAAAGAAAAATATCAAACCTTATCAGGCATTTCAATTAGGCTCAGCAGGAGGGGAAGAGACCGACAGACTTCGAGTTGGCTGGAAAAACATCGTCCCTGCTTATTGTCCCTCAGACTTTTCTGACTTCAGATTTAGGGCTGGGAGCCAGAAAATCTATTTTTAAAAAGACCAGCATTGACATCATAATGAATATTGGTTAAAAAAAAATTCTCGTGTGTAAGCTCTTCAGTTATTTTCCCCCATCTAAGTTTCAAAATTTCTGTTGCATTCCGAATCAAACTTTAAAGAAAAAAAAAAATGTCAACTCCGAGTTTTTACGACTTCTCGGCTGCCTCACCCCACTTCACCTAGGCAAGTCCCCAGCTCCACATCATTCCTGGAAATCCACCCAGCAATGAACGTCCGGTCCTAAAACTCAATTATCTCAATGACTGACATCCTACAACAGAAAAATTGTATCCACATTCTATGCAGATGAATCTACCTTGTAAAATCTCCACTATTATTTCACCCCTTCCTCAACCCCATCCTCACAGAATCCCCAACCAAGCTAATTCACTCCATCCCTTTTCCGTATCGTGCAACAGTCATTTGAGCGAAAAGGGAAGGGCCAAACAAACACATACACACAAATCTCCCCCCACTTCTCCAAAAAAAAAAAAAAATCTGTTGTCCAGATGCAGTCTCCACATACCACAGCTGCACTAACACCGCTTTATACAACAAGTTGGCTCGACGTTAATGTTGAGTAGAATGCCGGATGCGCCCTGTTTACCCTTCTGCCTCCGATCACTCCCAGCTCTCCCCACAACCCCCAGCAGCGTCTGCATCCCATCATCGCTCCATCTTTATATATCCTCATAATCACTGTGATGAGGTTATGAGGCCTGTGGCACGCGTGCTGCATTCCTGGGAGGTGATGCGAAACAGAAATGCATTAAATTCCTGATCTGGAATCCATCGCAGGGGGTTTATAGCATATCTCTCTGTGTTAGAGTGTGTGTCTGTGGAAGTTGTGGTTGGGTTAGAATGTCTAAAACTATTCATATCCCTTAGAGTTCATATTTTCTTTAGTTACAATCACAAATGTCAATGTATTTTATAAAGATTTTATGTGATAGGCAGTGGCAAGGAGGTGCAAATGTATGAAGTGGAAGTTCTTAGCGAATGAAAATCTGAAAGGTAAGGGCATGCTGGAGTTTTAAGCCCCTTTTAATTTGATACTACTAAATAAAATCCAGGATAACTGGAATGTAACTTTTAAAGTTACAGTCGCCACAAACCATGTCAGATGAGCAC